TGTGTGTATTTTGTTGAACCCAATGATAAACATGTTGTGAGATGTTATTATTTTTCCCTAGATCGCCCAGCCCTAAAGGTAAATGTCACTGAACGCCACACACTGTGCTGAATGACAGCAAGAGGAAAACCGGGCCTTCTGCTGCGCTCTCCGCTGTGGCCTGTGGCGTAGGAGGGACTGTGTTTGCTGCTGTACGACAGGCCTTCAAAACCGGGGAGGCATTTTCACACGCACGGCTGAACAAGTCAATATTTGCCGTGGCCCTGCTCCTTCCTATAAGCTCCATATGTGCTCTGCAGCTCAGCCACTGTTAGCTTTGACTCATTACGCCAGCTCAACTCTTGTCAAATAAGGCATAAAAGTCTGTTATGTTATCCAATGGGCTCCTTTTATTCAATTTCGGAAAGCGTTTAAACACGTGAGCAGGGGTTTGACTCTGTTTGGAATAATTAACAGTGTTATAAATTGTTGAGATTGCAGTTGACGGGGGAAGGTCATTTGTGGAACTCCTACTTGATATTAAGGCTTTATGTCAGTGCCGCTCGGGCTGATGATGGCGTGTTATACATAATTTTGAAGCTAATTATTTTAAGAAAACAAACACAGGGGTGGAAATGAGCCACTCAGATTGCACATATACGTAAAACAGGATATATTTTTTTAAGGTAATAGATAATACAATTTAGATAATAAACCTATAACAAATAAGATAATAAAAAAAAAACTCTAAACTTGCACTTGGTTCGAAGGTATTTACAGATTGTACTTTAGCAGCAGAGAATATTATTGTTGGCCTCAGTTATAATCTTGATCAGCTTTTTCATACAGAAAAGTAAACAAGAAACTACCCGCAAATGGTTCTAATGTCTAATTTTGTCTCTATTGTGCACAACATTTTATTATTAAAGGCGCTATACCCGTTTCTGCAAGGTTTGAATGTTTAGCACCGCCCCCCAACTCGCTCAATGGCTTCTCATTTCCCCTACGCTCTCATAACACGGGGCCATCTAGCTCAATTTGCGATCTGACATGTATGCTAACATTAGCCTTAGCACAACTTCTTGTAAGCTGCACAACAATCACAGATGAAATGGTACTAAAGCAACGCACTGCTAACACAATAAATAGGTAAAAGAATACCGCTAGTTTTGCATCCAAATGTATTCATTAAAACATTAGAATATATTTGAGTATTTAATTATAATTTATTATACAGCTCCTCACAGCAGCAGTAGAACACTCCATTGACTTGATTGTAATTCTACCGATAATTTTTTCTTGATAACAGAACTCTCAAATCAATAATGACCGCTGCCCTTTGACAATGCAATCTCTGTTTGTAATTCAGGTGTGTAAAATACTAACATTACTCTCTTACAGAGGCTAGAGAACTGGGTTGGCGTCGCTGGCACCGCCCTAAGTTGGTTTAGGTCTTACCTTGAAGACAGGAAGTACTTTGTGGAGATTGGAAACTGTGTCTCAGATCATATGGCCCTGACCTGTGGAGTTAGGTCAGTTAATACGCAGAAACAAAGTTTCCTATCATAACTATGCAGACAACACTCAGATCTATGTCTCACTGACTGCAGGAGAACATGGACCAGTGGACTCACTCCTTCACTGTATCCAACAGATCAGTGAGTGGATGCAAAACAACTTCCTTCAGCTAAACGCAGACAAAACTGAAATGATTGTCTTTGGTCCCCAGAAACAAAGAGAGAGCGTCATCTGTCACCTACAGTCTCTCTCCCTAAAACCTTCAAACAAGGTCAGAAATCTAGGGGTAATACTGGACTCAGACTTAAATTTTAATAGCCACATCAAATCAGTAACATCAGCAGCTTTTTACCATCTAAAAAACATTGCCAGGATCAAAAACATAGTGTCTAAAGCAGACCTGGAGATTCTTATCCATGCATTTGTCTCCAGTAGGTTAGACTACTGCAATGGCCTGCTCCCAGGTCTGTCCAAACAGGCTGTAAAACAGCTGCAGTACATTCAAAATGCAGCAGCTCGAGTCCTGACTAGAACCAGGAAGTACGACCATATTAGTCCGGTCCTCAGGTCTCTGCACTGGCTTCCTGTGGCTCAGAGAATAGACTTTAAAACAGCTTTGCTTGTGAACAAGTCTCTCCATGGCCTCGAACCAAAATATATTAGTGACATGTTAGTCCCATATGAACCAGCCCGGACTCTGAGGAGCACAGGGACTGGACTCCTGTTAGTGCCCAGAGTCAGAACTAAACATGGGGAGGCTGCTTTTCAGATTCATGCTGCTAAAATCTGGAACAGCCGACTGTGGCCCACTAGAGTTTTCTCTACGATGTTGGTAAAGTCGAGAAAACTCTAGTGGGCCACAGTCGGCTGTTCATCTCCACCTCAAGGCCTCCAACCACACGGTGGATGACACAGAGGTTAAAATTCTGGCTCGGGAGAAGAATTGGTTTGAGAGAGGGGTGAAAGAAGCCATTTTTGTGAGGAAACAGAAACCTTCTCTTAACAGAGGAGGAGGGTTAAGATTTGTTTTGCCTCGCATCTATGACGACATCCTAAAAACAACGCCCTAACTTGGGACAAGGTCAGTTACATGCTAATGAGTTAGGAGGGGTGAGACCTGCACTCCACTTGAGCATCCCAGCAGACAATAGGTCTGTGACATGCTAAGGAGTTAGGGTCGTTAGCCTCAGCAGGGTCGTTAGACCTGCTCCCTTCTACATCAAGCAGACCTGAGATTGTTTACGAGTTAGTATCAGGATTAGGGTGTGGCTTACCACACCCATAGGTTATAAATCTCCAACGCGCGGTCCGAGAATTCATTCCCTGAAGAAGTCCCCAGGTTGAGGACGAAACGTCGGGAAAACTTGCTAAGAAGTACAGATGATGGGTGAGAAACCTTCCTTTGCTTTGACTAATTCCTGTACGACTGAGGGCTTACACAAACTTTCTTTTTAATGTTCTGTGATTATTTATGATTTTAATGCTATCTTGTTCAGCACTTTGAGTTGCCTTGTGTATGAATTGTGCTATACAAATAAACATGCCTTGCCTTGCCTTGCCTACTCCGCAAGTACAATGAGATAAGCTAGCGGAGCTAGCCACGCTCAATAAACAACTACATATCTATAAATCAACACCATTAAATGTTAATCGGACAATACAGTATACATATACATCCTTAACACACATGCACGGACTTTTTCAGAATTTCTTGTTATCGTTTTCATGACCAAATTACTATTTTAATGTGACAAAAAGCGATCGCGAAAAACCCAGAAGTATCCATTAACATGTAGTTCCAGGGAGTTTTTGAACTAGCTAGCTTAGCTGTTACCTGCCTTAGCACGTCCCGGTGGAACCTTTGGGAGCTAACTATTTTATTTGCAGTTATTGAATACATTTCGAATTGTAAGGGCTGTCTAATATGTGTTCGAATATATATATTTTTTTAATTTTAGAATTATATTTGAATTTCGAAGTCGAAGCCCTGGTGTTAAGCAGCGCTGTAGAGGCTAGAGGACGCAGGCTGTTCGCCGCTCGTCCTGTGAGTGGAGGAGAAAGACTCTACTCAGCACTTTTCACTGCTTGTAATTCTTACACAGCTGAATCAATTACCTCTAGTTTTCAATTAAATTACGGATTATAATACAACTTGTATGTAGTAATAAGCATTTTTATCAACTACTTAGAAAAAAAATTGGGTATAGCTTCTTTAAAATACCATGTTGTTATCAATGGAGGAGAAAAGTCAGGTTGCCCAGCTTTAAAAGGTTTTGAACCATGTTACAACTTCCCTCATTGACAATAAACATGTGGAGTTGTACGTAAAGGTGTATCTGCACAATCCGACAATGCAGTAAAATCAGGCAAATAATATTATTTACAGCCTTCAAATAAAACAATCATTTTGCATTCAAACATGTGTAATGCCAAAAGTAAATAGTCAAGGATTAAATGAGCCAAAATGAACACAAATAATGCATGTTCACATGTTTGAGAAGCCAGTGTGGTGGAATTCTTGTGATTAGGAGGTGGAGAGGAAGGCAAGTGGATATTTTGACATAATCCATGAACCAGATGAAATATTGTGAAAACATATGGATGATGCTGGTCTTAAGCATGACTGTATACAGATGGACAAAAAGTAAGTATTATAAAACTTCTCTCGCTCAGTAATTGTTTGTGGCACACTCATCAGATACGGCAATGAGCCCAAAAAAACTGACCAATTGGGAGCTTTCTGTCGGCATAGTTGGCTTTAGCTAGCAAATGCCGCAAGTTGGGACAGACCATGGACTGTAATTAATTGACGTAGTGACAACAATTTTCAGCGTCAATTTCAGGTTTGGATGTAATTGTCACATGTTGAGTTGAAAGAAGACCCAAAATGCAGGAATGGAAAAAAATAACCATGATTTAAAAATGAAAACTTAAAAAGTCCAAAATGAAAAAAAACAAACTCAAAATCCGAACAAAATCCACCAAAGCCGACAATCAATATCTCATCAAAGTACTCAAAATGTTATAAGGCTAAGAACAGAGGTGTAAGAAAATACTGGTTCTATACAATATGAAGACGTGCATCAGAAATGTATTGTAGCTGAACTTTTTATGATTGGACCCAGGAAGAACTATTTATGATTGGACCCAGGAAGAACTATTTATGATTGGACCCAGGAAGAACTATTTATGATTGGACCCAGGAAGAACTATTTATGATTGGACCCAGGAAGAACTATTTATGATTGGACCCAGGAAGAACTATTTATGATTGGACCCAGGAAGACCAGAGGAAGACATTTTTATTAGTATTTCACATTTCATACAAGACTGCAAGGCTACGCACATTAGACAAAGAAGAGATAAGAGTGTTGCCTAAATATAAGAAAGACTGAGCAGGTGAGTCTTTAGTTTACAAATTAGAATAAGGTCGGAGCACATTCAATCTCATTGGACAGAGTGTTCCATTTACAAGGCGCGTAATGGGAGAATCCGCTTCTCCCATGGGGAACAGCAAGAAGGTTGATGTCCAAGTAAGTCAGAAATACATGATGACGCCAAATTGGGCCAGGCTTTGCAGTCTCGCTTCTCAACAAGAATTCCAGTTGGAACAGGGTCTTTCTGCGTGGAGTTTGCATGTTCTCCCCGTGTCTCATACAGACAGACCGGGCAGATCCATCCAACAAAACATCAACCAAGGGATTAGCAACCTCACCTGTCGGCAAAGGTTTCCTCCGGGTGCCACGGTTTCCCCTACGGCTAAAAACATGCACAATAGTTAAAATCCTCCAACTACGGTAGTCCTGACAAAGTAACAATCTCTGGAGATGGGTTCCTGGTTGCTGTACTACGGCAACCACTGCACAGACGTCCTAGTGGGATCAGGATGGGTCAAATGCAGAGGATAAATTACATTACAGGGATTAATAATGTGCACCTTTTTCTTTACATGAGGATTTTAAAGTCAATCCAAACCTGAACCATGAGCCAGTGGAGATCCCTTAGAACAGGTGTAATATGAGATCTTTGTCTAGTCCAGAACACAGAGCCGCAAACTATCATCTATGGTTTCTATGAAAATACTCAAACTAGCCCTGATTTAGAATGTTCTTTTAATAAGACAAAAGATAGTAAAGAAGCCAGTACTGCTTTATTACCTGACATGTTTCGGCGGGAGACTTCCGCCCAAACACATGTTCAGCTGTTGTTTCTGGATGTGTCCAGTCTGACAGATGGGCGAGATCCATCAGACTGGCCATGCCTCCTGCTGCTCTCTGGAGAAGTGAGTTCCAAATGCGAGCAAATGTGAAAGCCCCCTCGTCTCTGTTGATGGACCGTGCACTCAGCTTCCTGATTTAGATTCCCTCTTGCATCTTTTTCTTTTTAATAATTGTCCCATTATATGATTTTCCCTTTTGCATTGGTCAGGTGTGGCTGATTTAAGTTTTTCCTGAGGTTGCTTTTTCCTTGGTTGATCTCTTTGCATTCCTTCTGATATTCCTTTTTTACTGGTGCTGAAAGCTCTTCCTGTTTCTTTGATGTATGTTATATTGCAGGGGGGGCGTGGTCAGTCTGATGGATCCGCCCCATCTGTTTGTGATTTTAAGGTCCATCCATGCTTATATCTGGAACTACTGGAACATGTAACTCTGCCCCTCCTGTCAAAAAACTTCTGTCTCAGTCCTGTTAAAGTAGATGTCACTGTGCCACTATGAATTTTTTATGACTTTTTTATACTTGTGGTAGCATGGGAATGATGCAGACAGATAGTGCACCTTTATATTTAATTTTATTTATTTATTTGATCAATTGCACAAGAAAAAAAAAAACCTGTATATGGTTTGAACAGGGATTGGATGAAGCAAAACACAACAAAATCAGAAGTAATACTCTGCAGTACCGTAAAACCATAACACGTGACATACACACACACACAATAACACCTGTGGCATGAGACAAGACAAGACCAAGACACACACAACCACACACTTAATATATTATTTCACATTCTAAAACATGCAACAACTAAGAAAAAAGTCTCATTATAAACATTGTGCAATAGTCCATATCTTCTCATAAAGGCAAGGTAAATTTATTATTGTATAGCACAAATCATACACAAGTCAAAGTGCTGAACAAACCAAGATAAAGACAGTCACAAAAGGCATTCAAATCATAAATATTCACAGTACATATGAAAAATCAAATGACACACTAGAGTCTTTTCACAAATCGCTGCACTCTCGCCTGCCTTTCACCGAGCGCACAATCCAAGCCGAGGTTGAGCTGACGAGTTCATATCAGTCTTTTTTTCTTTTTGTGTTCTCCCGACAGCGCTATCACAGCCCAGTGCTCGGAGCGCCGGCCGCTTCTGTCGCCGCACCTTTGAGCTTTTGTACTTTACAGAGCGCCGTGGACCGCCGTCATCTGCGTCCAAGCGCTTTTGTTCCAACAGCCCCTCACTGAAACCGGAGCACTTTACCCCCGCGAGCGCAACAAAACACCGCATCCCGACGTAATCAAGGGGAAAAGGCAAAACCTGATCCGATCGCCCGTTTCATCCCGTGCCAGGAATCACAGTTTGCCGAGTTCACTGCGTGGCGAGGGACGTGGCGATGTGTTGGAGGAAGTGGAGCGAAAAGGTTTTGGAAGTAATGTGTCTGTATTGTGCCAAATCTACTTTTCACAGCGTTTGACCATTTTCTGGTTGATTTCATTGTTATTAACTGTGATTCTCCTATAAAGCCAGTATCCCATCAACCCCCCTGTACTGGAGGGAAACTACAGCAGTAAAGACACAGCTGCACAGGGGCAGACTGTTAGAAGTGAGGCCGCAAGTCTGTGCCATTGCCCCTTTGACCATCGCTCACTAAAAGGTCTTTAAAACTCTTAAAAGTAACAAATTGTTGTCATTGTGGTGCTACCTGGTTGCGGAAGCCAGATCCCGTTGAACAGGGAAGGGTCTGGTTTGTACTGTGATGGGAGACCTCTGGGAACACCAGGAGCCACAGTGGGGCGGCTGTAACTGCTGTTGTGTCCTTAGGCAAGACACTTCACCCACATTGACTAGTATGAGTCTGGTGTGTGTGCATGGTCGGTGGTGGATGGAGGGGCTGATGGCACTTCTGTCAGTGTGCCCGGGGCAGCTGTAGCGACAGTAGTAGTTTATCACCTTTGTGTAAGTACATTCTTATTGAGTAATTCTTCTATGAGAAAATGGTTTAGTGATTCATTGAAACAGGTTAATGACGAGATCTTCAAAGACAAGCTGTGCGAGTTTACCCGAGGGCAGAATGATTTTGATGATAGAAGACTGCAGTAACAATCTACGTGTTCTGTTTTCAAACAGTAAATAGATTAACAAACCCCCTGTTCAGCTGCCATTAGAACTTCCAAACATAAATGTGATGAGTTTGCACTCAAAAAGGGATCAAAAACGGCATCACCTCCACAACACGCAACAGCCAGTGGGGCTTTTTCATCTCACTTACTTTGCCCCTGTAGATAAAAAATCTGTCCAAGAGATATTCTGCAGTCTGCGTTCCAGCCAGGATGTACCTTTGAAAGTGAAAGTTAGGGTTAGATTTCTTGAGTTGCCTGTTACCTTCACTCATGCAGATAGTAAACATGTCTCTTCATTCTGGAACATTCCCAAAAAACCTGCGGTCATCAGGCCCCTCCACAAGGAGCAGTTTGGATGCCACGGTAACAACTATTGTCCCATCTCCAATCTTTCATTTAGAGGAACACTCCTTGCGTGTATGCTTTGGCGAACTGGCTCCGCTCAGGTTAATGATTACCTCCGCTATGGCCAAGTGCATTAAAGCTGGGGAATCTAAATTTTATATTGTTTCATGATTTATTTATTTTCCGCAAACTGTTTTTAGATCAATAAGACTGATTTAATAGTTATTGTTTTTTCTTGATGTTTATTTTGCCCTTCAGGGACCTCTTCTGTTCGATCTCCACATGCAGCTGTTAATCGAGGAGTAATAATTGACAGCCGGATCAAATCTGTAGTATCAACAGCTTTTTGCCATCTAAAAACATTGCCAGATTAAAATATAGTGTCTTGGAGATTCTTTCCCATGCATTTGTATCCAGGAGATTAGACTACTTTAACGGCCAAAACGCTGCAGCTCCAGTCCTGACTGGAACCAGGAAGTACAACCACACATTAGTCCAGTTCTCAGGTCTGTGCTCTGGCTTCCCGTGGCTCAGATAATAGACTTGAAATCAGCTCTGCTTGTTACAAGTCTCTCCATGGCCTCGCACCAATACATCTGTGGCATGTTATGAACTGACTCGGACTCTGAGGAGCACAGGGACTGGCCTCATGTTGGTGCCCAGAGTGAGGACAAAACATGGGGAGGAGGCATTTAAGATTCACGCAGCTAAAATACAGTCTTCCTTGAAAACATGAGACAGGCTTCTACACTGACATTGTTCAAATTCAGGTTAAAACAGTTTTTTTGCATTTTGCCGGGCATACAACTGAAGGATTGCATCTTCACTCTTTTTAATGCACTGTGACAATTTATGAATGTAATACCCTGAGGCATTTTTGTTTTGTTTAGCACATTGAGTTACATTGTGTATGAACTGTGCTATACAGATAAACTTGCCTTACCTAATAAAAAAACTACTTATTTAAGGGAAACATACCGTAAAAAGTTAACTGCTGTTATTTAGACAATGTTGGAGAATATTATTTTTTTCAAACACACACACACACACACACACACTACTATGACCTTTGTTGTGAAGACATGTACGGTGAGTCACCACAGAGGGCCAGGTGAACAACAGCTCAGCAGTTTTCAACACACTTTATTAGTTTTTGCATATAGCTGCATATTACAAAGATCCTCCGGTGGACAGAAAATGACATTATAGAATACCAAACAGGCCAGACCAGACATAAACTGTTGACAGAGGAGTGAGGAGAGAGAGCCGACTGATAGGGTGGAAAATACATTCTCTACAACATGCTTTTCTTGTTGCGTGTCTTGCTTTAACTACACTATCGAAAGCCTTTTACACAAAACACAGCTCAAGGAGTGTTTTGTTGCAACATTTTCTGTTACTGTACGTGCGACAAAACTGGCAAACAAACAAAACCTGGAAAAACAAGGGAAGGAAAACGGTGCAATGTGAACTTGTTTTGTCAGTGCCAGACTCTTCACGCTTCAGCACACATCAGGCTCTGGATAAGGGCCATGCTTGGACCTGGTTATTTGCATGGCAGCCTGGACGTCAGCAGCAGCTCTTCCCTCCACGGCGCCCAAATGCGTCAGCAGCTCTGTCCCCCCCCCTTCCTCCTCCTCCTCTTCCTCCTCCTCCTCCTCCTCCCAACACCTCGGCACACTGTGTCCTTGAGGACTCTCTATTGGCGCTGCTTTCCTCCCCCCTCGCTCTTTCTCCTCAGCCTGTTTACACTCGCAGCCATTATTCCAGCCACAATGAGCAGTGACGACACCGCGCCAAGTGACTAAACACCTCGCTTATGCTTCCATAGACGACAGCGGAAGAAGAGATGCAACCAGTTCAGGATGTGTCTGGGGCTTACAGCGAGTTCTTTTGATTCTTTGACACTAATATTGTAGATTCAAAGTCGAGTTATACAAAGTGCACACTCTTCCCCATCTTTATGTTGCTTATATGCATAGACCTTTTTCTATAAGTGCAGTTTTGTTGACCAATTAGCTGGAGTTATTTTGGGTGTTCCCCAAGGTTCACTAGTCGGTCCTTTCTCCTTCTTCACATTCATTAAACCTGGTTTCTTATCTCTTTTAAAGTAAAACATAGTTTGCCCCAATAGAAAGTCTTGTAAAATACAGAGCCAGAGAAAAACTTTCTTCATCTTGGTAGAAAATCTCTTGCATACTTGTAAGAAAGAGAGTGACTATATGACTCTTTGAAAAAGGTGATGCAATATCTACAAAAGACATCACACACTGCCAGTGAGACAGCAAGTGAACCCCACTGGGTTTTAGAGTTTTTCCTTGACGATGCAGGAGGGTCCAAGGACATTCAACGACATTTATGGACTTTATCAATATTTATAGACAATGGTCATCTGCCCCTTATGGACCAATGCCTCTATGTGTTTTCTATCATTGCATTTCTTGGGTTTGAACTGTTTAATTCTCTGAGCTGTGTTGGTGAATTTGACGGTTTTGTAAAGTCCTCAGAGATAACCACTGATGTAATTTAGGACAATACAAATATAAATTTAATTGAATTGAAGGTGGTTATTACCATGTGGCAACTACCTTTTTGGCATTCTGTATGCCTGATGCGCTCTATTGAGTCCAACCCTGAGTAACATGATCGAACAGAAGTATTGTTTAGTGTCTGTGACTGTAATGTCCTAACTTGTGTGTTTTATAATGTTTTATTAGTGTTTTTGAAATTGTGCAAATAGAGAAAGACTATATTCTACATTCAATCCAGGATGAATGTAGACTGCATGGAGGTAACTAACCGCCTGAGCATATTGTAGCTATAGCCAATTGCATTATGGGCTCTGGTGGTTCCATAATGCATAGGGCAGTGATTGAATGAAGAGGTGATCTGGTCTGATGACTCATATGTGATTATCTTGAAGTGAATGTACAGAAGCAGAGAAGCAGACCTGAATGTTTAACCTCTGCATGTGAAGATAAGTGGCTTCCATTTGTTAAGCCCAGCTCAAAAAAGGTGCTTTTTGTCTAAAGAAATTAAGTGTTTGTGAAGGTTTGTTCAAGTGAGTCATATGCCAGCAAGGTAGTCATTAGTTTGACCTGTGGTTACACCGGCCACAATCATACAATAAAAAGACATAGTTGCAAAAGATGTGGATATTTATGTGCAATGTCGCTATGATTATTACAAGCAGTATGTGTGATTATGACAAATAGACACCAACCTGTTTCTGCATTAAAACATTTAGTTTCAACAATAGCATGTCAGTAAGTTTTGCACAATGTTGAGGTGGAGACTGTATAATAAAAACAAACCTCTGTACACACATTCCATTTACAGTATAGGCAAATTCTCACATTCATTTTATTATTTGAATAGGGTTCATTGTTCGATCAGAAATAATTACTTTATTCTATGGATTCATATTCTTATTAACCTAGAATGTATTCTAAATGTGTACAAATGTTTTGAACCAACAAAATGTTTTCCCTGTGGAGATTGAAAAATTGAAAAATCCCACATTTAAAGCCACCCTGCGTAATTTTTACAGCTTCTCCATCTGAAAAAAACATTTTTTAAGAATATTTACCTCCACCATGTTTTTTTAATTGTATTCATAGGCCTAGAATTAAAATTTAATTTGAAAAACGGTGGTGGACAAAAAGGATGCGAGAATTGCGTTTTTGTTTCACATGAGCTACTGATATTGTTTTCACCGTGCCTTCACAAGTTTGAAGAAGGAACCATGGAGGACCACAGTTAAAAGAACCATGGAGGACCACAGTAATATAAAAGAACCATGGAGGACCACAGTTATTCAAAAGAACCATGG